CCGCTCTTTCATTTCCACACCAACTAAAAAAAAATCTGAAACAACAACAACAAAAAACAACGCAAAACCACCCAAACAAAAAAAAGTCCAAACTCCTGAAACCAGCTCATACAAGTCTTTGAAGCACAGAAACTTATTAGTCTCAGAGTTTTCAGAAGTTACTGGCCTCGCAGCAAGCAGGGTTTAAAATGAAACACGTGTGGTCGCCCGCAACAGCAAATTACTACTGAGAGCTCTTACTGCTGCTGTTAAAGACCAGGACTCCAGCCACAGGCATGCTAATTTTTATACTAAATACACAATTTTTTCCCTAATTTCTTCGGAAATAGAGTGAGAAACCACTCATTGGACCCTGGCTATTATGTTTATGCACAAAAGCCATACAGGAGAAGCAGCTCACCCATGGAGTACATACAATGGCTTCCTGAAGCAAAGGAAACATTATATAAGCAGCAGACTCAGGAAGTGGTGAAATACTGAAAGTAGTCACTAGCTTCCCTGCAAAGATAAGTGTTAATCAACAGAATGTTTCTTGTCCTTGTGAAAATAGGGAGGTAGGAGGGCGTGGGAAGAGGAGAAAAGGGGAAAAAAAAAAAAGTATCATTGACCACACAAGCCGCCATTTCTAAGGAGCCCAAAAAGTGGCGATGCAAGAGGCAGATTCTTCTTGCTGAAGTTAAGATGAGGCCTGAATTCTATCTAAAAAAAAAAAAAAAGGTTTTCACATACCCAAACACAACAACCAGACAACTTCTGCACTTGTATCAAACCACCTCGTTTCTGCTGTAGTCCAGGGGCACAGTTTGCGCTGCCCAGTTCACCCAGCACGCCCATTGCTGTCACAGACACACTCTGCTTTTTTGTGGGGCGTTTATACAACGCGGGTAGAACATAAACACGAAACCGATCTTGCCTGAGCTGTTATCCAGATCTAATCTGAACCACCTTCCAGTTAAACTATGCCATAAGTAGACCTTTTTTTTTTTTTTTTTTTAATAGACGACACACTGCTGTTTTGTTGTTTAACAAAACCGAAAAAAAGAGATGCTCTATGTCACCAAAGAGCAGCCCGGCAGCCTCTTTGTTCGCTCCCCGGGTCCCAGCTGCGAACCACCGACCGCGTTCTGTCGGACCGACGCTTCGTTCCAGCGGCAGCTGATCCCAAGTTCGCCCCGCAGACCCGCTGGCGGCAGCCC